GCGGTTTACAGAGTCAGCATATTGCCCCCAACAACAATCCGGGTCCTCATTTTACCCACCTTGGAAGGATGGAAGGCTGAGTCAACCCTGAGCCGTGAGATTTGAACAGCCGAACTGCAGAACTGCAGTCAGCTGAAGTAGCCTGCAGTGCTGCATTTCACCACTGCGCCACCTCGGCAGCAATGAGCCCTTCCTCAACTGGAGGAAAAGTCCTTCGGGTGCAGCCGTAAGCAGCCAATTCATCATTAGGAAAAGCTGTCCAACTGCAGCCACATGCAGCACTGATGTTGTTACCTAGTTTGGTAATGAAACGTCCGCCAGAAAACAAGGAAGCTCAGAGAGCGCTAACAACGAGGGGGTTGGATTAGAAGACCTCCAAGGTCCCTTCCAACTCTTGTTATTCTGTTGACCCAACAATCCTCCTTCTTCTCCTCTTCCTCTTTTCCTTTCCTCCTCCTCCTCCTTTCTGCAACCTCCACTCCCTTCTAGCACTGATGTTGTTAACCAATGGACCACTGGGAAGATCATTTTCCCGGCACGCACCCGCGGTACCAGGCAGCTGTTCTTCAGGTTTCTGGCATGCACGCACCCGCTCCCGTTTCGGCACTCGGGCCCCCCGAAAGGTTCGCAAACACCAATGTGGAAGCAGCATGCAATGCTAGCGAAATCCAAGGCACAAACTCCAAAGCGTGTTTCATGCACAGCCAAAACCAGAAGCGACACGGGAGACATCGCCATCCCTCGCGTCACCGGCTCGCTCCTTCCTTCCCCATTCATCCCCGTGCCTGCCTGGCTCGAAGTGGACATTCTCTCCACGAGGATCGTACGACCGCCGATACGCTCCAGTTCCTCTTCCCGGACACACCCGGAGGACTTTGGCGCAGCCGCCAGCCCGCTGGGAAGGCTGTCCTTCCTGGATCCCCTCTCCGCAACATCAGGGCAGCTGTTTGCCCTGGCCGGGTCTCGGGTTTCGGTCCCGTGATTCGAGGCCGGCTGGACAGCCCAGCCGGCTTGGCTTTTTGCGCCTGGGAAACTCTCCCATCGTTCTACGTTGAAGAGATCGGGGGCCCCGACGTGGTCTTTCTTGAGGGACGTTCTTGGCACCAAGAGGGACGTTTCTGAATTGCTCTGCCTGGCGTAACCCACCGTCCTCATCCCGTTCTCCTTGAAGAAAGGCGCTTTGAGGGGGAAGGGAGCCCTCTCTTCTTGGGGGGCCGGCATCCTCAAAACCCTGCTCAGAACCGAAGGGATGTCTTCACCGTTCAGGTTCTCCACCCAAGGTCCTTCTGGCTCCGTGGATTTTTGAGCTCCCGCACCATCCCCGCAAACCCGTAACAACTCGGGCTCGGAGGAAGAGACACGGGACTTCTCAGCGGGGGCTCTGCTGGGTCCTTCGGAGCTCAGGCGAGGGGTGGACGCTTTACCCAGCGGGGGCTTGGCCCAAGGGGTGGCGGGATGACGATGCAAAGCGTTGGAAGGAAGCTCTGGGGCGGGGGCCACCACCGCTAAGCCGCTGCTGCTTTTCTCATCGATGTGTAGGACTTCCAGCCCAAGAGGGGCCTTGGAACCGGGGCCAGGCCCATCGTGTTTAGCCCGGGGGCGCTTGGAGGCGCAGGGTGGGACCGTATGGGACGGAACAGAATCAGGTGATCCAGAGGTCGGCTGTAGGGAAGGTTCAGAGGGTAGAGAGATGGTAGAACTGGTCTGAAAGAGAAAGGAAGGGAGGGGGAAAAAAGGAAGAGGGGAGAAAAAGATGGAAACCGGATTGAAAGGAAGAAGGAAGGGGGAAGAAAAGCAAAATAGCGACAGAAAAAAAATAAAGAGGGGGGGGGAGCTGCATTAAACCCACTCGAGTTAGTGAAAAGGCGGAGGAGACCCAGGAAAAAGGGACATAAAAGGATAATTTCTGGTAGCAGCCTGGTCTCACAATGGGTCTTCTCCTCCTTCTTGTGGACTAGAGATCACGGATCTCCAAGCCTGGAACACTTGCGAGGAGGAGGAGGAGGAGGAGGAGGAAGAGGAAAGAAGAAGAAGAAGAGGAAGAGAAGGAGGAAGAGGAGGAGATTAATGAGAAGCAGAAGAAGAGGAGGAGGAGGATGGAAGAAGAAGAAGGGGAAGAGGAGAAGAAGAAGAAGAAGAAGAAGAAGAAGAAGAAGAAGAAGAAGAAGAAGAAGAAGA